CTATAATCCTCATTTCAAATTGGCCTTTAAACTTTTGAATGTTCCAATTTCATCCTAAAACTATGAATCTCATTTTAAATTAATCCTTTTGAACATTCTAATTTAATCCCTAAACTATGACCTTCTTTCCAAATTGGTCCCAAAACTTTTGAATTTTGCAATTTCTTCCCCAAATTCATCCAAATATATAATTAATTTCAACCATGGTTTATGTAACACCCCAACCCGTACCCGACCCGGATACGAGTCTGATATGTCACATTGACATTTTAAAACCTTTGTTCTTGTAAAATAATTGAACATTTGAACATATATTAAGAAAATACGATCATATATTCTTCAATTGTGTTTGGTATAAAATTTTGAGATAAAAAATATTTATGAACAGTAAAATATGGTATGAACAGTACCGTAAACACTAATGAACAATGTCATGAACAGTGCTGCAGTGCATCGATCTCGTAAAAATTTAACCGTTCATTACTATACATACTATACATTTCTTTTCTGATCTGATCTTTGGAAATGAGAACTGACCTGTTTTGCATAACTCTTATCAATCTTCCTCTTCTCAAAACCTACGCGTGAAACAATCACAACCTAAGTCTACGACTTAGTGAGACATATAAAACATATAATAAAAATCATAAAACATTTCATATATTAAATTACATACATGCACATATACTATCATTTTTCTATTCATATATCAAATCCGCACATGTATATATATGATTATCCTCTTCCTTATCATTATCCTCTTATTATCATTAATACCTTTTATCATATAATCATATACTTATCATTTATACACATCATATATCATTTCATAAAGAAATACACTTAACACCATATACTTCATGTAATACAGTTCATATAACTAAAACATATATGCTTTCATATAACCAATACTTGAATCCTGTAATTTATTCCATATAATAAATCACATATGCATATCACCTTCAGTATATTTGTTTAATCTCTTTATTATTAGCCCATGTACACCAGTGAGAACTTAAGGTATGTGAGTACATTGAGGTTGTGCGCTATTATGTTGTCACCACAGCTCGTATAATTGTCCCGAAGGACCAGTCCATAGGTTCCGAAGAACCTAGGTAATCAGTCCATATGTTCCGAAGAACATAGGTAAACAATCCATATGTCCCGAAGAACATAGGTAAACCCACGACCCTTGGCATGCCAACTATACCACTAGCTCTCATATCACATAACATGGGCATTATCATTTATAACAGTTCACATTACTTATTTATATCATTTCTCTTATAAACACATATCTTTTCTTTTTAGTCACGTATCACATGTACGTGTAATCATTGATCTCATAATCACATGTTCCTTCTCTTCTGTATTATACCACATGTATGTGTAAACATATATCTAATATCATATAACACGTATCACAAATGCATGTATTCACATAGATCATTTCATATGGCTTTTATCATTTCTCATTTGTTCATGTAACCTTGCATGTCATATCAAGTAACATATATCATATGTTGTATTTTCACGTAAGCATGTAAATCATGTAACATATAATAACATACATCTATTTCTATGTACTAATGCACACATAGTAATCACATAATATTTTATAAGTTACTTCTTACCATAGTAACTCTATCATTGGCTCATCGCAAGCCAATGTTTGATCAATCACATAAGTACAATTTAAATTGCACTCACCTTAGCCTTGCTTTGATTCGATCCTAATTCTTCGATTGTTCTTGAACTTGTTTAGGCTCATTATCTACATAAATATAAATTCCGATACGATTATCAAAAGCCTAAACCTTATAACTTGATGTTAATAACTCAGACTAATTTAATAAACCAAATCAGCTTTTCCTTTAAGAGTGTATCGATGCACTATGGGTGCATCGGTACACATAATAGCTTCGAAATATCCATGCATCGATGCACCTACCCAGAAATCATTGTTCATTGCACGAAAATTCACTCTTTCAATTTCAATTCTTCAAGTTTCATTCCCTTTCATATTCTTAACTCAAATATACATGCTTATACTCATTTATATCTATTTATTTCATCTTAAACTTCAAAATTCTATTCTCCATATAGAAATCAATAATCATACCAAATTTTCCATGTTATCCAAACTTAATTCTAACACTTCTTACTTCTTATTATCATAGATGACAAGTCAAATTTATCCTCCAAATTCTTTTAAACCTTCCTATTCCAAATTTCACTTAAAAACCCATTTTCTTTAATCTTTCGCAACTTCTTCATCTTTTGATTTTAAGATAACTTAAGCTTTCCTTAAGCTTAGTTATCATCTAATGATCAAAACCCACTCTTAAAATTAACAAATAATAATCAACAAAATATAAAACTCACCTTTGCTCTAGCTTGGGCACGTTGGACAAGAGAAGAAGATGAGTTTGAAAACTTATCTCTTCACACATGCATCACATGGGTATTATAATACCCACTAAATTTTATTTAATTATTATTCTAGTTCAATGACCTATTTGCCCTTTGACTATTTCAATAATTACTAACAACCCTTCATGAAATACTTTCAAATAAATCATTGAACTTTTCAACTTTTTCCACTTTAATCACCAAATTCTAAAATTTTACAATTTGATCACTAACCCGTAGTTTGGGATGTTACAGTTTAACCTAATTTTTTTAAAACATATAATAATATAACTTTAACAAGAGACGCGATTAGTATATATGTACAATTTGGGATGAAATTAGAATGGTTAAAATGTTTAGGGATCAATTTAGAATGCATGTCATTGTTTGAGGATGAAATTGAAATGTTCAAAAGTTTGAGGACTATGTTAGAATAATAGTTATAATTTAGGGATATAATTAAAATATTTAAAAGTTTAGGGACTAATTTAAAATGAGAGTCTTACTCTAATAAAATTGATACACTGAATGAAAAAAATATACATTTGTTTTGTAAATTATAATATTTAATTACAATTATATATACATACGTACGCATAGGACTCGATTGCGTACAAATATAAATAATAATCCTTAGGTAATGGCTATAAAGTTTACTTAAGCTGTACATCAATAGAAAATAGCTTTGAGCTTTAGCCTATTAGGTTTATTTATTCAATAAAATTAATACATTAAACGAAATTATTAATTATAGAAATAACAATCCTAAGCTAATGCCTGATATGCAAGGTTCAGTTAACCTAACTCTACATCGAAAGAAAAGTGTATTTAAAATATTAATTTTTCTTTGTTCGATAAAAGTAAAGCTTAATGAAAAAATAAGTTATGGAACTATATTTTTTATTTTACTCATTTTTAGATATTTAAAGTATTTTTTTATTTAAGGTAAGTACTTAACGTTTTCGATGTTATAAGTTTAAGTATTTGGTATGTCATAATTGTTAAAAGAAGTCGACCACTAAAAAATGTGGCATGTTTTGTGTTATTTTTTCTAAAAATTTTATTTTAAAAAACTTAAAATGAAATTAAAATGTCTCGTGGTTGTTGATTTTTTTTACGTCGATGATTGTTGAACCAAATTTTACCAAACGAAATCATATGAAAATAAATCATTAAAAGTAATATTAAGAAAATAAAATTTGACCCTATTACACTTCAAAACAAGTCTAACAACATATCCACCCACCGAAATTTACTAAAGTTGGGTCAAATGTTTCAAGTTTAGAGTGGGAACAAAGTGTAGGACTAAGTTGAAAAATAAAATAGGTTCAGGGATTATAATTTGCTTTATCCCTGCAAATAATGCAATGCAATCACTACCAACCCACCTAACCTATGGGTCCCATCCCATTCATGCTCTTGGGGCTTTCATTCTACGCATTTGATTGTCCACCATCTAATCTCCGCCGTTTATTTAATCTGATGACCCGTTACAAGATCATTTCGGTTATCTATCAACGGGCTCATATTTTTCAAAATCTGAATTACACGCGCATAATGATTAGAAAATATTTGAGAAAAAATATTTTAAAAAATTGACCAAACTAAACCGGTTAGCATTCGTTTGACTAAACACCCTCAAATTTGAGGAAAAATATTTTTAAAAATTTAAATTTTAGTCAATTTATTTAACAAATAATAAAAAGGATAAACAACATATTTCGTCATCCATCTATTCTTATGATTCTATTTTAATCATCCAACTATTTATTTCTCAAAATCATACAAATGTTGCATTTTTATTATGTATTAATCACTTACAGTTAAAATAAATAAAATTATCGAAGTAATATTTTTTTTATTTTTTTCAACAATAATGTTATATTTATCTCATTATGATACATCTGTATTGTCTTATTATTATAATAATGTTATTATTAATTTTTTAGCGGAAATGATTAAAACAGAATGTTAGATATGATTTGCAAAAGATATATAATGATAAAATTAACCCCTAAACATTTTCACATGTGTTCCCTTTGTCCCATATCTTTATTTTAGTGTTTTAGCCCCTAACGTTTCAATTTTTTGTCAAAGTATCCATGTTGAATGAAAATCGTTAGTTGACTAATAGTCAACACATGTTGTTGACATATCATTTTTACAAGTGTTTAATTGTTAATGTGACACATATCACATCATTACTTTAGATGACATAACAAATGTCACTTTAATAATTGAACACATGTGAAATGTCACGTCGATAACATATATTTATTGTTAGTTAATTAACAATTTTCATTTAACAATACCTGTTTTGACCAAAAGTTAAAATATTATAGACTAAGAATATGTTCAAAGTGATAATATATAGAAATGTTGAGGAGTAATTTTGTCATTATGCCTTATATATAGTTAGATCTATGTAAAAAAGAATAATTTGGTGACCAAAACAATACATGAAAATAGGTGAGCGGCTAAATACACAATTTACCTAATAAAAAATTGATAACGTCAGGTCTTTGACTATTTCTCACCCTTCTTTAAACCTCGCCATCTCCCTTTCGCTTCTCCAACCCTTTCTTTTTTTCTCTCACTTTCTCGCTGTCCAAACAAGAAAAAAAATGGGGAGAGACGATTTATACATTACAGTTCCATGTTTTTTTCGGTGCCCGATATCGTTGGATGTGATGAAATATCCGGTGAGCTTGTGCACGGGCGTTACATACGACCGAGCCAGCATCCAGCAGTGGCTAGACGATGGCAACAACACGTGTCCGGCCACAATGCAAGTTCTCAAAACCAAAGAGCTCGTCCCGAATCGGAATTTACAACGTCTCATCCAGATCTGGTTCGACTCAGTCGCTCGCTGTCAACCCGATTCAGTTGTCGTTCCTTCTCAAAATCAGGTCAAACTCTTGGTCAAACATCTTGACAACAACAATTGCTTTTCATCGTTAACGAAGATCCTTCACTTCGCAAAAGAATCGGGGGGAAATCGTGAATTCCTCGCGAGAATTAACTTGTTTTTAGACAAAGTGTTCGATTTCATGAGGAATGAGGAAATCGACATCAAAATAGTCGAAAAAGTTGTTGAGCTTTTGGATTTGATGTCAAATAACATTTCTGATAAGAAGCCATTGCTGGAAACGAATTGCTTGTCGAAGATTTTTCTGATTTTACAAAGAGGGAATTCAGATTCACAAATTCGAGCGGTTCGAATACTGGAATCCGTAGCTGTCGATGAAGAATCCAAGCTCAAAATAGCTCAGAAAGAGGGATTGATCCCCGAATTGGTGAAATCTTTAAGGAAAGAGAAGAACCCAATATTGATCGAAGCGAGCTTATCTTGTTTGATCGCAATCACAATTCCAAAACGCATAAAAATTAAACTAATCCAACACCGAACAATCCCAGAACTAAAGAACCTTTTATCCCAACCAAACACCATCATTTCGATAACCGAGAAGTCACTGAAGCTACTGGAAGCGTTATCGTCCTGCAAAGAAGAAAAAGTGGAGATATGGCAGGATTCGGTGTTGTTACAAAGGGTATTTGAGAAAGTGATGAAAGTATCGAGCAATGCGACGGAACACGCGGTGGCGATACTTTGGAGCGGTTGTTATTTGTTCAGAGAGCGGAAAGCGCAAGAAGCGGTGGTGGGCAGCAGCAATGGGATGACCAAGTTGTTGTTGCTGATGCAGAGCAATTGTTCGCCGGCGGTTAGGCAAATGTCGGCCGATTTACTCAAGATTTTTCAGGTTAATTCGAAGCTTTGTTTATCGAGTTATGATACTAAGATCACCCATATTATGCCGTTTTGAAAAATTTTCCTGGGAAGAAGAAAAACCCAGATTTGTAAATCAAAGGAAAACTTTCATACCAAAATTTTGTGTTCAATGTTACTTTCGAAATCAATTGGTTTGAAATTATGATAAGTTGAAAATTGATTTGATGTTAAACTGGGAAAAGGACAAAACAGTGGCTCATTTAATGTTATTCATGAATTGCAGTTTCATAGTCAATGAAGTACCTGTAAGTGACAGACACAGTGATGTGTATTGTAATAATTTCGCTACAATATGTTGTTTTATATATTTTCTTCTACTCATTAAAAATTTAATCATTTTAATTTTATCTTATTTTAATTTTTTAATAAATTATTTAATAAACAACAACACTTACAATTTTTTATGCTTATATATTTAACTTTTATACCTATTATAATAAATTCGTTAAATCTATCAATTACTTATTAATATAATTTTATAATTTTTCTTATCGAATATGACTTGACATGTAATCAAATTTACCTCTTAAAAATTAATAGAGATTAGTTCAAGTAGTAAGCAGTTTGATATCGCTTAAGCAAATATTAAAATAGAGGTCTTGTGTATGTAGAAAATTTTTGTCAAAAAACCCACCCACTAAATTTAGGTGTGCGACATGAATTAATCTATACTAATCAAGGCAAACCCATGAAAATTTAGGAGGACAACAGAAAAAATATTACCCCATTAAATAATATGCTTAAGCTTAATTAAAGTAAGATAAAAATAACGGGGCAGAAATAATTTAATGGGGTAATATTTTGATCTATTTGATAAAATAAAAATACTTAATTTTTATCCAATCTAAACATGAATTAGAAAAAAATGATTCTACAAAAATTAAATCAAGTTAAAACTTATCAAAATTGAGTAAAATAACTATCCTTAATTACATTCAGTGGTTTCTTTGGTTGGTTCAATTGGAAAATTGATTTGATGGAAAATTGTATATCAATTATATTTTGAAAAATTACACAAAACTAAATCAAATTACAATTGACACTAGCTTATTACATGACCCAAACCAAATTAGAGAACTGCTTTGCTTTTTAGGGTTTTGTACATTTAGAAAAAGAAAAAAAATTCAAAACAGATTATGCATTTAAATTTTGATTTGTATATTTGGATTCAAATTACACACTTTATTAATGTTGGGTTGCTGTAATATTTTGGTGAATTAGTTTATTATGGGTTTGGACTTGGGTCATATATTTGGGTAAGAGTCTGGGTTTAAATGTTTAAAAATATATACATTTAATCCACACTTTTAACCGACAAAAAATAATTTGGTTAAAATTAAATCAACTTAATTAAAATTAAAATTTAATCAATTCAACCACATATTTGTTGACCTTAACTCCCTAAGTCGCTAACTATTAATATTATTATCTTATTTCAATTAGATTATATTATCTTCTATTCAAATTTTAATTAAATGATATTATCTATTATTTTAATCGATCAAGTTAGAAATTTTTTCTTTTTGGAAATAAAATGGAATAGAACAACTGAAATACATAAACATTATTCTATTTAGGAATAGTTGAATACTCAAATTTATATATTTATGTTTCTTATATGCTACATTATTATAGATTCGCACAATTAACAATATATAAACATCGACATTAATTGAATTTATTGAACAACTTTAACGGTAGAAAAGAGTATTATTCTCTTTAGAGATTTTAGGTTTGAATAATTGCATCCACGGAATATATGTGCGTTGTCAATTGTTAAAAAAGGTTATGAATATATACTATCTGTAAATACAATTGCTCGAACGAGATTCTCTAAAAACATTTTCTTTTACCTCTAAAACCACTCGATAAGTACCAACAACCAATTAGTCTAGTACGAATGAGGCACTAGAGCTCTTAAGCAAGGTTAGGAGTTTGACCTTTATTATTTAAGAATGGAGAAAATAAAGTTAGGATGGTCACCCCTTTGCAGTATTCGATCCAAATTAATCGATTAATAGAATATGTCCATTTTTTCAATTGATTGTACATTAAATAATTATCTTCTAAAAGAATATAGCATTAATCTATTTCAAAACATGTATAATTTGATATTGTTTGAATTTTGATGTCCCAAAGGAATGAATTGAAAGGATTATTTTTTATTATCGATCTTAATTAATTGAATATTGAATTAAATACTAAAAAATGCAAAATAAATTAAGCATTTATGAGCCCGAAATGAAAGCCCATGGCATTTCGAAGAAGTCCAAAGAGAAGAAAGGTATGTGATAAAATTAATTGGATCAAAAGTCCAATTATAATACTCATCTAAATCCACATTCTTCATGTCAGAAATTATCCAACCTTTGATGCTGTGATCTATTTACTTTTTCTTATTATGATTGAAAATTCTAAAATACAATTTATTAATATAAAATTAAAAAATAGTAAAAATCAATTGTAATATTTTTTTATTAGGAGTATAATTTTTTAGATTCAAGCTGAAAATGTTACATTCTTCATAGTATTTTTTAACATTTTCAGCTGTAACAAAAATATTATAAATTAACACTACTAGTTGGAGCTTCAAAAGATTCTTAAAATTAAAAGCAGAGGAAATCCTTATTCTTGATGCAGGTGCACTGACCACTAAACGCATTTGGGAGGAGACAAGAATTAAACACATTAAGGTCCCATGGCACAAGGTTATCTGGTTTCCCCTCCACATTCCTAAACTAAACATTATTGCTTGGATGACTATCCTTGATAGACTTTCAACTAGAGACAGACTCTCTCGCATGGGAATTACCACTACGATCTCTTGTGTTCTTTGTACTGATTCAAATGAATCCAGAAACCATTTATTTGTTGATTGTTCAACAGCAACCATCTTATGGAAAGCTATCTTAACTCTCAATCATCTATCCAAGCCTCATATGTCATGGGATGAAATGCTTTCATGGGCTTCTTCATCTTAGAAAGGTAAATCCCTTCTTACTTCCATATTGAAGATTGCTTGGTGTTCCTTCATCTACACTATATGGGAGGAAAGAAATCGCAGGATTTTTTAAGGAAGGGCAAGAACTATTGAAGAATTGTTAAGCTCCATTAAAGACATTGTAGGTGCTCAACTTAGCAATAAAGACCTCAATATAATGGACCATGTTAACTCTTTACTTTGTAACAATTGGGGTATAGGTTAACATTCTTTTGTTGTACATGCTTTCTTTGATCCTTGATTGTGTTCTTTGTATTGACTCTTACTTGGATAAATAAAAATTTACTTATCCAAAAAAAATATATATATATTATAAATTTGTATTTTTTTTCTGTTGTAAGCCCTAAACTTCCCGTAATGTGATTTTTCGATTACAAAAATAAATGTAACAAATTTTTATAGCTTTTTAAATTTAAGAAAATAATATTTTATAAAAAAATCATCTTAAATTAACCTTAAATTAGGATACTGCACAACAAAACTACCCTACTAATATTCCTTTAATAATTCATGCCTTATTATTTTTTCTTTCATCATATTTTTTCTATTAAAAAAGAATGACGTTGTCCCTTTTGACCAAGCCATCGCCATCCATATTTTCTTATAAGTTTTATTGATTTCTTTTACTTTTTTCCTTTTCCTTTTTCATTTATTTAATATTTTTATATTTTATTTTAATAAACCTGTCCATTTATAACAAAATGATGGATGTTCTTTTTACTATTGTAGTATGTTTTCTTTATTATTATAATATAGTTTTCTTTTTAAAATTGAATATGATGTCGTTTTTACAATTAGCATTTATTTGATTATCTTATTAACCTACTTTGCCACAATCCCTTTAGTTAGTCTTTTTCTATTAATAGACGCTTTCAATTACTAATAATAGATTATGTTGAGTTACAATAAAGTTAATTTGTCGACATTTTATCGTTGTTAATGTATTTTAATGTTAGTACTGATGTTATTTATCTTCTATCACAAAAATGGTAATTTTTGTATATATTAATTGAGTTTTTAATATTTTTTATAAGTTTATTTGATTCTTTAATGATCAATATATGTATTCTGATAACTTTAGGAAAAATGATATATTGATTATGTTAATTTATTCTACTTCTTACGGTCTGTCAGTCTCTTTCTCCTTATCATTTTATTGTATTTTTTATTCAATAAAATTAGTAATATGAATATTTATAATTTATAAGTATAATTATTCTTCCAAAGGAACAGTGAAAAAAATGAACTAATATTCATTAAAAAGATGTTAAATTATTTACAAAAACCAATGATGAAAACAGAAGTAGAGGAAGCAAAATGTGCAACGTAGCGAAGCTCGGTTTAAAAGTAAGAAAGCCAAAACACAAACTAGGTGGCTTTGCTTCCACCAGATGACTCTTACCGGACAAGACACGTTCATTGTTTCTTCAAACCCGCTGTCTGGTTTCGATGTTGACGGCAGATGGACAAAACAAACGGATTCACATTTACTTTTTCATCGACTTTTATAATTTCCGGCATATATCTACACCTAACTGCATATTAATATGAAAACCTTAAGAGAGTTGGGTTTGAGTGCGAAAATTTTAAAATACAACTTTTAAATACAAAGTTTAAAAGTGGTAGAAACTGATTATAACTGAAAATTTTATTAAGAGTAACTTTTTAGGTTAGATAAAAATAACATTTTACTTTAAAGCCGAAAAAAATTATATTTTTTATAACATTTTATGTTGAAATAAAAAATGTTATAAATTTGTGTAATTTTTTAAGTTGAACATGATAACATTTCAGGTTAACATTTTAAGTTAACAAAATTGACATTTTAGATTAAAATCGGGATAAGAACTTCAAATGATTTTCTAGAACTGCCAGAACTTCAACAAAAGATTTTCAGATGTGCAGAGGAAGAAAACAGAGCGAGCAAGGAAATTTCCCCTAGTGGTTTCGAAACCACTGTACATAAAAGCTGAAATTGAGAGAGTTAAAGGCTTCCAACGGTAATAATTCATCCCCAACGTCCATAAACGAGTAAAAACTCATTTCACACCATTAAAACACTCCAAAGACGATTGAAGAATATTACAACACCTATCTAAGCTATATAGATAAAGAGAAAAGTCATTTCACTCTTATTTTCCTTTTTTTCTTGTACATAAGTGTTTCGAGCTTAATTGCAAATATATAT